AAAATAAAACATGAAATAAATAACCAACTTACTTGATTAATTTCTTGAATAATATTCTGATCAAGTCCAGTGTTTGATACTGTGTCCTTAAGACAGATTCGTTCTCTCTACGGTGCTTTCAGAATGTGGACGTCTATATCCCAGAATGAAATGATCAACTGCAAACAATAGCAACACTACAAACTGTTTTCCTAACGAACACACTAAGTGTTTACAGTCTTTCTCATAAAAATTAAATGCAGCAAAAATTATAGCAGAGGAGAATTACGAAAATTGGAGTAAAGAAACAAATGAGAGACTTGTCTATTTATAGGAGAATTTATGGCTGTTGGGTTTAAATTAAACAGGTGCAAAACCTGTTTGAACAGGTATGATACCTGTTCAGTTTGAATAAACAGATATAAACCTATTGGATTCAAATTTGAACAGATAAAAAACTGTAGGGTCCTGTTTGGGTGTGCGGGAGAATGTAGGGAAAAACCGGAACAGTTTAATTCCGGAATTAATTTCAATTTTGGACAGTTAGACAGATTTTATTTCAAAAAATAAAATTAAATCCAAATATTTTTTGCCTAAAAAGATTAGTATTGAGCCAAACAAGCCCAATCACACATCTGCACCCAAGCCCAGGCCCAGCCCAACCTGCTCGACCAGAGGCGGTGGCGCACGTGGTAATTTTTGGGTCCAATGGATCTAGCCCATTTTTCCCATAACCTCTCTCTCTACAAAACTTGGGCACCCCTTAGGGCACATCCCAAGTTCCAATCCTATGCCTTATAAACCCACTCAAAACTTTCCACCAAATCAATGTGGGACAAGCCATTTTTCAAACCTTTAAAGATTTTTCACCAAAACTCCATTTCCATGAAGTACACTTTGGTTTCAATTTCCCATTTACTCGATAATGGTTTTGAGCAACCAAATATACCATGTGAATCACAACGTAACATAGAACGCGTTACCACTTAAACTCGCCAATTTTGGTGTACGGGTCCCACCTAAATAATAGACTAAAGTTAGGAAAAATTCTGTTTTAACCCAGAATTTTCCAACCATTTCTAACAATATGTACGCGAACAAGCGAAAGGTTTTTTTAAAAGCAATTTGAATTTTTAAATTTGTTTTATTTGAGTGTACCTCAAAAGGGTAATTTGGGAAGAAAAAATAGGATATACTAAGAATAAATTGTAATCCTAAATAATTTAATAGGGTATACTGAAAACTTAGACTCACTTAAACATTTATTCTTAGACTCACTAAGAATAAACATATACGGCCTTAAACATTTTTTTTTTTTTTTGAAAACTCCAACTCGTAAAATAACATTAATGTGTTATCACCCTTTATTTTGTTTTTATATGTTGGTAGGTATTACATGCATTGAAGCTCAAATTGTACACTTTTTCTCTCTTCAAACTAAAATTTAAAAACATAGACCAATATTGCGTTAGCAAATAAATTGGATGGTAAAGGTCAAGGTCGATTGAAGGTTAAAAATTTAATGATAAAAATCTGAAGGTTCACGGTTTTGAATTCAAGTCACTTAAGGACTCTTTGAAAGTTTATTTGGTAGTTAATTTAGAGTTCTGATATTAGTTAAGGCTTGAACACATGGTTATCATCAAAAAAAAAAAAAAAAAGGTAAAATAAAAATATACCTCATTAAATTTGTTTAAAATACGGATTGTCTTGTGTGGATTTGGAAATTACAAATGCCATTTTGTTAGATATTTTATTTAACAAAATTAATGGAAAAAATGAAATTTCTTACTAATTTGTTATACAATAGTAAAATTATTCAAATCGTTAATTGAAATACATTTATGACATCATTAAAAATTATAAATTGACATGATAGGTTTATTATTAAAATAAGTAATTTATTAGAAAGTCGATATTCTAACTTCATTTTACTCTAAATGCACTCCTTCTTTATCATTTATTATACATAGTTACATAATACTCTTTCACACAAAATATGCTCTTTGAAAAAATTAAAATTCTAAGAGTATTAATGTATTTGGAGCAAAGAAGAGAATGTATTTGAAATAAAGTAGGGTGAGAATAGCGGTTCTCATTTATTATGCAGTTATAAACTTAAAAAGGCAAAATGCAATTTTTAAAAATACAAGGGAAAATTCATATTTTAAATAAATATTAAAAGATTTATTTATAATTTACTAAAAAAAAATTAGAATGATAAGTACAATATGATATAAAATGTAATAAATGTAGACATTATTTTAAAGTCAAATTCTTTCATAAATGTGACATATTTTCATCGGAGATGAAGGAGTAGTATACCCACCCAGTAATCACATTTTTATTCTTAGACACATTCAAACTAATTTTTAAAATTCTCATTAGACCTTCCTATTACTGTATTACTCCATCCAGACATCATGTTGTTTTGAAAATTAACCATTTTAATTGATTTTTTGATACTTTATAAAAAGATGTAAAAAATATAAAAAATTATTAACTTTTTAATAGTGACATTTTAAATTTTAAATTTTAAATTTTAAATTGTGAAAAGGCATTATAAGAAATGGGTGCTGAGGGTGTGGACAATAAATTAGCCATAGTATTTAGAAGTGCCCATTGTTACCCACTCCTTAAGGCCCGTTTGGGGACTTACTTTTTTAGCCAATTAGTTAAAAAGTTACTAAATTAGCCAAAAAGCCAACAACTCATACTAAAAAGTCAAAGATTCTCTTTTCTCTCTACTTTTTGCACATCTTTTCGTAATTAGCCAAAAAGTCATTCCAAACATACAAGTTTTTTTTACCTACCTTTTTAGCCAAATAACCAAAAAGTTACTAAATTAGCCTGTTCCCAAACGAGGCCTAAGTGCATTTTCAACGACAAAGGAGGCTTGTTAGTCATTTTAGTTAATGTTATTATATTTTAATTATTTTAATGAATTAATTATTATAGTAGTTATTTTAACAAAATTCTTTAATACTAGCTACATTTGAAGAGTTTTGAGAGGTTTTTTAAATAATTTATGTGTATAGATATGTAAAATAAAGAAGGGCGAATTATATTATCAGTCCTTATAGTTTAAGATTTGTATCACTTTGGTCACTGACCTTTTAATTGTGATACATTTAATTCTGAATTTTGAATCTCATTCCAAATAAGCAGAATTAAGACATTTTGGTTCTGGTTTTTAGAAAACAATTTTTAGAAAATTCTACTATTTTATTTTCCGTATTTTAATGTTTTCAATGAATTTTTTTAATATATTAAGCATTTTTTTTTTAAAATTTTTAGGCACATCTAATATAAATACGTTTAAAAAGTATAATAACAAAATACGAAAATTCAGTACATTTTTTATATTTTTGTGTATTTATTAATTTTTTAAAATATTTTTTCACAAATATTTTATTATTTAGATACATCTAATTAAGGTGCATCTAAAAAGTAAAAAAATTGATTAAAATTTAAAAAATATTTACTAAAAATAAAAAACACAATTTTTAGAAAATTGAATTCAGAAAACTGAAATCAAATACATTGATTGGTGCTCCATTTTAAGGGAAAATTTGTCAATTTGATAAAATATAAACTAGTTTGACAAAAATAAATGTGAAAAAATTATTTTTGAATTTTGAAAAATTATTTCTACCTATCAAAGATAAACTTATATAAAAATGATAAATCTTTTACATTTTTTATTTTATTTTTTTACCAAATTAATTTTTAGTATGTGTTTAGATGATGATAATGTAATTAAATGGTTATTTTTGTTGATATTTTTTTTATAATCATCATGCAATAGATGGTTGTATTTGTTATTAACATATATTTTTGGATAGTTATCATGTAATGGATGATTATTATGTAATGGATGGTTGTTAAGCATTTAATGTGTAATCGATATATTTAATATATGAAATGTTTTTAATTTTGGATTTTTTGATTTAATGGATTGATTTAATAATGACATCAAAATTATCGACATGTTTGATTTTTGAAAAAAATTTTAAAAAAAAATCATTTTTATATAATTTTATCTTCTAGGATGGTAGAAATAATTTATTTATTTATTTATTTTCTTTAAATTAGTTTTTATTTTTTCAAAAGTCAAATATGGTGACAATTTTGATACCATTATTAAACCAATCCATTAAATTAAAAAATCCAAAATTAAAAGTATTTCATATATTAAATATATCGATTACACATTAAAGATTTAATAACCATTCATTACATGATAACCATTTAAAAATATCCGTTAATAACAAATACAAGAATATATTATATGATAATCATAAAAATTTATCAACAAAAAATCCAACCATTATATGATCATCATCCAAATACATATTAAAAATTAATTTGATAAAAAATAAAAAAAATAAAAAATAAAAGATTTATCATTTTTATATAATTATATCTTTGGTAGATAGAAATAATTTTTAAAAATTCAAAAATAATTTTTTTCACATTTATTTTTATCAAACTAATTTATATTTTATCAAATTGACAACCTTGCCAACAATGTCTTCAATTATCCTTATTTGAAAAGAGATTCAAAATTCAGGATCAAATATATCATAATTAAAAAATCAAAAACTAAATTAACACAAGTCACAAACTACAAGAACCATTAATATGATTCATCCAATAAAGAATACGGTGGTATTATATGAACCAATTAATGTACACACTAGTATACCAACTAGTATTATGTTATTATTTAACCCTACCTATTATACAAATTATAAATATTCAAAACTTTTAAAATTATATTATATTATTAATTAGTATATATAACATTATCCTAACTAATAACATTGAAATACATTGATAAAAAAAAGAATTAAAAAAATAAAAAGTGTGATAATAAATAAGAATAGTGTGGGATCACATTAAAATGACAATACTATCCCTACTTGCAACACTTAAAAAGACTAAAATAGCAACCAAACTGTGGAATGGGTAGTGACACGGCTCTCTTTAATTGGACGAGACTCCCCAGTTGGGTAAAATCATGCGCCTCTCTCACTCACTCTCTCTCTCATCTCTTTGCTTCTAAAATTCTAGGGCCATTCTGAGACTCGATAAATCTTGTTTAGGGTTCGTCGTATCGCTCTCACACCATCACCAACAACACCAACAGAATCCACAAACAGAAAGGACCCAACCCTAAATCATAATTTGGTACGCTAACTCTAACCTTCTCTCTATCAATTCGTCCCCTACATGTATATATATATTCATATATGTGTGTGTGTGTATATATTACTTTTCTTCGCCAAAACTTCAATGCTTTGTAATTTGTCCCTAATTCTTGTATTTACCTGTGCTTTTTCTTAGCTCAATTTCTTCATTTTCTATTGGTATTGGATTTGTGCGGACCGTTTCGAGTTCTTGAATCCTGTGTGCATGATATGCGTGTTTTTGTAGTATTTTGAGCCTATAGGGTTTTGGGATTGGTTACTGGCGTCTCTATGCTGCATTGGTTGATTTTTACCCTTGAGATTGCGACGTTTGTTATTTGTTTTGTGCGTTGAATTCGTCAATTTGTTCGGAGTTTTGGTGTGAATTTGTTGTTGTTTCGGTATTTTGGTGCTTTAGTTAGTTGTAACATTAATGTCTGATTATTATGTATTTATGGATTTGATTGATTTAGCATTCAGCCTTATTTGATTAAGGTTCACACTTTTGGTGTTTTGTTTATCAATTTATTAGCATCCAATTTTTTTATTTATCAGCTAAGATTGGAAGTTGATTGGGTATTCTTTGGTTGCAATCTTCATTTATTCATGTTTATAAACCAAGATAAAATATAAAATCAGTTTGCCTATTTTGTTTTGTTTGCGCAAGCCATGAGAAAGTAATTGGAATTTTTTGACCTTTTTTTACAACTGTTTAAGGTTCTAGTTGCAAATTTGAAATAGCAAGATTCTAGGGCTGTTTGTTCTCAATTTTATTTTTGGTTCTTGACTTTTGTGTTTTCGGAAATAGAATCAATGGGAAGTTTAAGTTACAACCTATGTTTTTGTTATGAATTAAATCTTCTGAGAACTCAGAAAACATTTTAAACCCGTCTCTTGAAAATGGGCTGTTTTCAGGATTTTTTTTTTAATTGAAATCTCTTTGGAAACAGTTATTCCAATTTCCAAACATGCATGTTGTATTGTTTTTATATAAGAAAACAGTAATCAGTTTTTGAAAATGATGTCAAAATGGCTTAAATTTCCTTTTCTCTCCTATTAAGTTTCTAGTAACAAGAAAGAAACAACCATTCTCTGCACGCTTGCATCGGGAAACCCTAAAGATTTTGTTGAAGTTTCATGCAAAAGTTTTACATTTCTCCTTATTATGCACATTCTTTTGCTTTACAAGTGATTTTCTACCCATCTATGTGGGTATCTTCTTATCAGGAATTAAGCAATTTCTTAGCTTCTATGTGTAATTAGTTTAAGTTTGCAGGTAGCTTAGTTGGAGGTCAAGTGTCATTTTTGGATGACGATACTTAGAACTTGAAGCAGTCATGGCTGAGGGGACCGAAATTGAGGACCGGGTGGATCTTGATGATGACAATTACATTGAAGAGATGGATGATGACGTTGAAGAACAAATAGAGGATGAAGGAGCACGGGGAGGTGGTGATGAAAATGGTGAAGACCAAAATGAGGACTTTAAAAGCGAGGATAGTGGGAAAGACCAGTCGCCAGAAGTAGATGGAGGTGAAGCAGATGGAAGCATCATTACCAATGAGCCTGTGGAAGATGAAGAAAAACATACTGCTTCCATTGATGAAGATGACAAAGAGAAGCATTCAGAACTTCTTGCCCTTCCGCCGCATGGGTCTGAAATTTTTATTGGTGGACTTCCTCGTGATGTTTCGGAAGAAGATTTGAGGGATCTTTGTGATTCATTGGGCGAAATTGTTGAGGTCAGTTTTAATCCAGGGGGAAGAAAAGGCTGCTGTGTTTGTTTTGTGCTAGTAGCATTTAGGAATTTATTTGTTCGGTTTTCTACTAGGTTTTAATTTCTCAATTGCTTGACAGATAAGGTTGATAAAAAATAGGGATACTGGTGAAAGTAAGGGTTTCGCCTTTGTAGCATTCAAAACCAAGGAGGTTGCACAACAGGCCATTGAAGAGTTACACAACAAAGAATTCAAGGTACTGTTGGTGCTTATGCAATTCAACACTTTTGCCAACATGGGTCTGTATAAACATTAAATGCTTAGAGCCTTGGGCATGCTTATTTCCATGCTTTCCCGTTGCTGTTTTAGTTTTTGACTTTGTGCATGTCTCATCACTGCAGGGTAGAACAATAAGGTGTTCGCTATCGGAATCTAAATATAGATTGTTTATTGGTAATGTGCCAAAGAGCTGGACAGATGATGAGTTTAGAAAAGTTATTGAGGAGACTGGTCCTGGGGCAGAAAACATTGAGCTTATAAAGGTGTGTTTTGTAATAGTTGATTGAATATGCTTCTTAATAATGAGTAATTTTAATTACTAACAATGATAGTGTTGTCATTTTCTTGTAATAACAGGATCCTCAAAATCCAAGTCGGAATCGTGGTTTTGCTTTCATTGAGTATTTCAACAATGCTTGCGCTGATTATTCTAGACAGAAAATGTCGAATGTGAATTTTAAATTGGACGGCAACTCCCCAACTGTCAGCTGGGCTGATCCAAAGAGTACTCCTGATAATTCTGTTGCTGCTTCGCAGGTAAATTTCCATGGGATGGAAACGGTCCAACTTTACATCTAAATTTACAGTTTTACTACTTGAGGCATTCAGTGTTTGGATAACTGTTACAGCTTAAGCTCTCTTTGACCCCTATCTTAGTCTCTACATGGCAGCCTGCATCTGTTCAAGGTGTCAAAGCAGCTGAGTCTTGAGTAACCAACACAGAAAGGACCTTGTTACCTAGATTTGTGAGGCTGCTGCACAATTATTCTGACAACCAAAAATGATGATAAAATTAAAAACTTTTTGTTGTACTTGAACTGTTTAAAATGCAACTTAATTTTTTCGGGCTTAGTGGGATGAAAACTGACTTCATAATTTACTTTTATGTGGGTCTACAATTTACATAAATCTGCAAAGTTCATATAACTTTATGTAATTCCCTGTCATGTTTATGAATTATGTGGAAACATAGAGTGGATGATGAAGAGGTGAATAGTGCAACTTGCAGGAAAATCTATGTTACATGGACATAGTGATGAGTATCGGGTGTGGGTGTCTATCTATGTGGTAGACCTTCGTAAACCTAAACTTTAGGATATTAGGATATGTATCTAAATGATAGATATGGGTACAGGGACGTGCAGTGGACACATATATGTTGCATATTGTATAACTATATGTTTAGATAATGTGTTGTAGATTATGTAAAAATGGATTTGATATTTTAAAAAAGTACACGAAAAGATATGGAATTTATGTATCATCCATGTGAGAGGCAAGAGACGTGAGAGGCAAGAGACATTTCTTTACTAGAAATGTGAGTTTCTTTTTCCTAAAACATTGTAAAAGACTAGAGGATCCGAGTGTTTAAACTAGGTATAAATGTTGGACACATCCCACATCCTTAGCCTATATCCGGTGGACACGAGTACGTAGGGGGAAATAGAAGAGTCCATGTAACACAATTTCTTACTCGATCTGGTGGATGACAGTAGTGGCTCTGCAATGAAGATGGTGATTGTGGAGAGAGGAAAAAGTGCACAAATCGGTAGCATTGGTCAACTATGAAGTTTGGTGGGTGTGTGAGAATCTTTGAGAAGCCTCTCAAAGAAAGGGAAGAAACTTTTTCCTTGTTCAGCTGATTGATAGATTTTGGTCGGTGGAGTGTTGATGCCTACATGATAGAGGAGTAAGGTATTTGATGTTGAGGTGTGTGGTTTGTAGGAGAAGTGTTTGGTCGGAATTCTAGAGGTGGATTAAGGGATAAGTGGTATGTTTTCTTGGACGTTGTGAAGAATTTGGGTATTGGGTTGGAAGAGAGGAAGCCGGAGCTCCACTGTTTATTTTGCCAATTCACGGAGGTGGAGGAATGGTTGTAATCTATGATTTGCATGATGGATAATGTTGGGTTTAGGGACTGAGATATTGAGGTAGACCCTTTGTTGTGTGGTGACATGAGGGTGTTCTGCCAAAGGTGTTTGGTTTGAAGGATTGTAGATTAGGGCATGACAAATTAGTTCTAAAAGTGAGCGAAGTTCAACCCCAATTAGGACAAATTAGGGTATGACAAATTCGCACTCAAAAGAGTGAGAGTTTTGGTGTGACAAAGTGTTATAATCATTAATAAAAATTAGTTTCACATGTGAACAAGTACCTTAAAATCTAATAGTGTGATCTATACAAGGCTAATTGTCATACTACTTTTTAAAACATTTGCCATACCACTTTCTCATTCCCATTCCTTGTACAATAATTATTGGTGTTTAAGGTAACACAGGTTTGATTGGTATAGATGTTGGTAGTATCTGGGGTGGTTGGAGAGGCCTTTCATATAAGATGCAAGTTCTTAGAGCTCTCAAGTGTCTTAATGGGGATAAGGAACCTAGGCTTGACAAAATGACTATGATTTTCTTTCAGAATTGGAGTGTGGTGAGAGAGTAGGTGATGGGTATGATGATGAATTAATTCTATGACAGTGTCACATTGAAGAAGAGTCTAAATTCATCCTCTGTGGCCTTAAGATCCCTAAGAACGGGAGTACAGTGGATATTAGAGACTTTCAACCTATTAGTTTGCTTGGTAGGGCGTATAAATTGTTGGCAAAAGTGTTGGCGATCCATTAGAAAGACGTGTTGAATGTGGTGCATTGATGGTATAGGATTCTCTGAATGTGTTTGTTGAGGTGTTAACTCTAGAACGAGAGTGTTGTGGTGGAGGTGATATGTAAGTTGGATAATGATACAACTTACGATCATTTGAATTGAGATTTAGGCTAAGTTTGGGAAGTCCCAAATAAGTTAAAAAGTCAAAAAGTTACTCAAAAAGTTAAAAAATTGACACTATTCACCAAAAGTCAACAATTACGGCTGCACAACTCTCAATTCAAATTTTCCTCTACAAATCAATTTTTACAATTTTTTATTACACATTTTTCCATAAACGTGTTGAATGTGGTGCATTGATGGTATAGGATTCTCTGAATGTGTTTGTTGAGGTGTTAACTCTAGAACGAGAGTGGTGTGGTGGAGGTGATATGTAAGTTGGATAATGATACAACTTACGATCATTTGAATTGAGATTTAGTATTATATGCATTGGGTAGGATGAGTTTTGTAAATTGATGGAGGCGATTGATTTTCTATGGTCCCATGTTCTTTAGCCCTCTATTTGTTGTAAATTAAAAACTATGTTTCCCCATGTATTATGTTATATTAGGTCTGAAATTTATCCCTAGAGCACATCATATGGACCAAATCTGGTCCCGCAGTAAAAGTCCTGAACTATTTGAAAGAATTAATGCAATGTTGGTTAACTGAATAACTCTGACACTATGATGTAGTATAAATAGAAAACCCAATATTAATAAGACTCCTAATTAAAAAGAAAATGAATAAAATACTGTAGTCAAAATTATAAAATTGTAAATAAAGTCTCCATGTGCACACGTGAACATTCTGCATCACCCTAGACCTCTGGTAGTTGTATGATTTTTGAACCTGAGCACCTGCTAAGATTTTTTAAAAGCATTTCAAAGGTCTCCAAATTATTATCTTGAAATGAACTGCGGATACTATTTCTTTTGCTTCAAAATAGTTGTAGTACCTTGAAAGGCTTATTTTAAACTTCTTTAGTTTGGTGAGAATATTTATGAGGAATATATCAAATTAATAACTGCTCTTTCTACTGATTGAAGAACTAGTTTCTAGATCTTGTGGTGGGGGAAAATGAAGACCTTATTTTCCCCCCATCTGTTTCGCTTGTGAATATTTACATAGCTAGTCTTGAGATATTATGTGTACCTGATTCCAGGTTAAAGCACTTTATGTGAAGAACATACCTGAGAATACTCCCCTTGAGCAAGTGAAGCAACTATTTCAACGCCATGGAGAAGTGACAAAAGTTGTTATGCCGCCCTCCAAATCTGGTGGCAAAGGAGATTTTGGTTTCGTCCATTATGCAGAAAGGTCAAGTGCATTGAAGGCTGTCAAAGATACAGAGAAACATGAAATTGATGGTATTGTTTCCACAAATTTGTTATTTCAATTACTTAAAGCTAACAAAGGTCATGGACTATAACCTAAACATTGAAATGATGACTATAAGATACAACATGTATCCGTATAGAAAAGAGAACAGGAAAAAAAGATGCGTGTATGCTAATTCTTTGTCCTTTGTTGTGGGAATACCTGCATTATTGATCTTTTTATTTGGATATCCTGGAAAATACTGGAAAATTATATTTACGGATAACAAATTCTTAAAAAAAAATTGGAACTTCAGCAACTGTTTGAAAAAATTTACTACAATAACCTACATTTGGCTTTGAAAATTGAATAGCAAGAAGATTTTCCGCTTTATATTTGTCTGCCCTTCTTTATGTTAAATGTATTTTTTGAATTATGGAAGTGAGAACTCTTTGTGAAGTCACCTATTGCTTTTTGTTTCTGAAATCTTTTCGTCCAGGGGAATAACATTCTCAATGGATATAAACTGCAGGTCAGGTGTTGGAAGTTTGTCTTGCTAAGCCTCAGAGTGATAAGAAGTTTGATGGGTCTAATCCCCACAATTCCGGGCTTCATCCAAATTATATCCCCCATCCTGGTTATGGTGGTTTTCCTGGAAATCCATATGGGCCTCTAGGGTCTGGATATGGTGTTGCCACCGGTTTTCAGCAGGTATTTTTGTGGACTTGAGTAGCCTTAATGTCCCTTTTTTTTTTTTTTCGAACTTTCATCTCATGCAATTGCACACTTGAACAGCCTATGATATATGGACGGGGACCGATGCCAGCAGGGATGCATATGGTGCCAATGGTTCTACCAGATGGTCAAATTGGCTATGTTCTGTAAGTTTCCTGTACAGTATTTTCACTTTTACAGACTTAATTACAGTGAAGAAATACTTGTGGTTTTATGCACTTTGGAATTGTGCAGACAGCAGCCTGGAGTGCAGATGCCGGGTCCACGTCCTCGGAGAAATGATAGGAGCAATGGGTCGGGTGGACCGCAAGGACGGGGAGGAACTAGCAGCGGTGGCGGCAGTGACGATGGCAACCGTACCAAACGTTATAGACCTTACTAGGGTTAGAGTATGGGATGGGTGAGTGACATGTTGTAGTTGAATAAGTAGTTTATGCCGGAAATATCACCAATTTGAACTGCCCCCACCTCTCAAAACCTTTTCGTCCAGGAAAATGATAATGGATTCACCGCGAATGAAGAAGATGGGGGGTCTTTCATAATTTACTGTAACTGTCTCAGTGCTGTTGAGTGATATTAAAATGTTTAAATTTCTCTGGTATTCGATTGTTTTTGGATCTAACAGTGTTAACTCATGCTGCCAGAGCTGACACATTCTACTTTACAGATTTGAGTACAAACTCAATTATCATCTAGCTGTAGTTTTATCTCTTTTATGGATATCAAGGATTGTTTTTTTATTTATTTTTTATTTATGCAAAGTAAGGTAACTCTCGGTGCCATTTACCATTGCTGCTCTTATACAACATATGCTTATCTTGAAAAATGAAAGAAATGGCTGGATTCTCATGCTTTTGTTGCTCTTCTATTTGAGGAAGCAGGTCAAGTGGAAGGGAGGTCATCTACTACTGGTATTTCCCCCTCATTTTCCTGGGAAAGCCAATGATAATAAATTGCTCAATTTTGGTACACCTTCTGCCCCCCAAATTGATTGGAGGCAAAAGAGGGAACTAGTGAAAGAAATGATGCCAACTATGCACTTCTTGCACTGAGAGTGCCTTGTGACAGGTCTATATTCCCTGTAAGTCAGGAGAGGGGGAGCCGATACTGTGCCTCTGCACCATTCACAAATATTTTGTATCAGTTGAATGATTGGTTTTTGTTCTTAGATTTATTCTTTTATATTGTTTGGCTTAGTTTTTAAATTTTTTTTTTGATTTATTATTTTTGTATTTTCTTTTGTCTTTAGTGAATTTATTTCATATTTTATTTTGACCGGCAATTTCCACTGGTTTGTAATGAAGAATAGCTTTCAGGGTTCCTCTGAAGGTGTACAATCAGCTGATTTAATCCAGCTTTTAAAACTTTGCTCCGAAGTGTAGTCTCGATTCTCAAACATTACTTGAAAGTGTAGTGTTCGGTTCACTTGAATGAGGTGAAATGTAATGAACATTATATCAACTCAAAAACTTAATAGAAAATAATCATGCAAACTCTAAAACTTGTGTGCCGTATGGATATTGTTAGCACTAGGACTCCATTGATGCTCTTATAAAGATCTATTGTTTATCCATTCCTTCACCAAATTACTTAGGTGGTGTTTGGTTTACTAGAATGGAGTGGAATGGAATGATTATTTCATTAAAATATTCATTTTCATATTTGATTGACTAAAAATAATAATGAAAAATATATTGTAAATAAAATTATTATGCATAAATGTAATGGAATGATCATTTCGTAAGGGGCTTAAAAAATGACTACTCCATCACATCATTAGGATGAACCAAATAGAGCATTAGCTCCCTTTCTAAGCAAATTCCTGACTCTCCAACCGCATGAACACCTAGGGGTAGGCTCAACATCAAGAAAATCTCTTTTACAACGATATTATCCCAACAAAGACTCCAGCTAACAAAGAATCAAGGTGCTTTAACAATCACTATGCAACCTTAGCCAATTGAGAACAACCCAAAACCTCGCTAACTTACATGTTTACACAATTCAGACCATTTCTTCCAACAAAGCCCTTCGCATAAAAATATAAAAAATCGTAATACTGTGAATTTGATGTACAAAATGACACTAGTCTTCGAAGACAGATTGGGATTGGTAGCTGAAAGGGTATGCTTCACCAACACACATCAATAACAAGAGTGTCAAGCAATGTAGGAAATCCATTGTATTGGGATGCACGTACTCACAATATAAGTACGCTTACTTAGGTTGGTGAACAAATTCAAGCTAGTTGTGACATCGTAAATCCCTTCAATCTCAACTTAGGATATGGAGAATGCCATGAAATTAGAGTACAGGTCCCTTGGAAACCACAAAGATGTCGTCATCTTTGTAATTTGTTTGGCCACTCTTTCAAGTCTCGTCCTTCATCTACATATCAAGTTGGATGGTTTTCTCAGGTAAATCGGTTTGCTGAACACCCCAACCAAACTGCTAGTACCAGAAAGCTTATGAAAAACAGATATACTGATTATTATCTTCTATACCAATGAATTCAATCAAAATCTAGCCACTATTGGCCACGGTTCTCCTTCTATGTTGAGTCAATCAAATGCAACCATCAAATTGAGAATGCTGATCCTTTGTGACAATCAAATCGTGACCTGTGCATAGTTATGTAGCAATAAATACAAGAGAGAATTTATGGGTACATCTGATAGGTTAGTATCCTATAGTATTTGAACCAAAACAATTTCTGTATTGATCAACCACCATTAACTAACATTAGGGAAACTGCTCCTAAATTAAATCCTACAGACACACAATTAGATTGGCTTCACTACAAAGAGCACAACATTAGCCATTCTTACAATCTTATCCATGTATCATTGTTGGTATCTGAGTCTGCAGGATATGATCAAGCCAACACAACCAAACTATACTATGTATAATGTAGAATTCTATTCCTTGAATCACATCCATGAATTGAAACAGGATACCAAAGAGTTTTAGGTGAAATATGTACAACATAGCAAGAAGAATCCATTACAAACAAGAAAATGTACAACACATATTTCCATGGTTCGCAAAATTTCCTAAATCCACGGCTCACCCCAGTTCTACTATACTGAAAAAGAGAAGCCCAGTTCCACTATTGAAAAAGAGAAAAGTACAACAAGGCTGCTTGTGTAGACAGCAATATATAAATGCTAACAGAAGATTACTCTAATATTCAGAATCAAGATAATTGACTAGACAATCAAAGTTTACATACACTATAAACAAGTGTTGGGGCTCAAAAACAAGAATGGTGAGGCTGCAACCAACAATTTGAAATGAAGCAAAGAGCATAGAGATTATTATACAATCACTATATATAGAAGTTAAATTTAAGAAGAAAAAAATAAAAAAAGACCAGCTTTATTGAATTATAGCAGTATCTACAAGTTCCTGAAGACGCTTTTCGAATTCATCCAAACGAGTAGTCCAATCGCTTTTTACGCAAATGGGTCGAGCATTGCTATAATTCCAAGTGTCTGTTTCTTCTTCTTCACCTTCTTTTTGAACTGTACCACTTGGGCCTCTGTTTTTAACTAACTTAGAAGAAGAGTAGTCCCTTCTTCGTTTCTTCTTGATTTTCTGAGCAGCGGCTCTTTGTAACGCCATTAACACATCCGAACCACTTAGCTGTCTCTCTTCTTGTTCTTCTTCTCTGGATCGTTGTTTTGAAATTGGGTTTTTGATTGATGAGGCACTATTTTGGGGGCGAGGATTGAGGGGTTCGATTTGTGGGTTGGATTTGAGAGCGGTGAGGACGGTTAGGCCTAAACCCCTGATGTCTTGGGCGTGGTCGTCGCCGGAGGAGTTTTGCGGCGGCGGTGGTCGGCGTTGAAACTTGTTTGAGGGGGAGACGGCGAGGGGAAAGCATCTCTCCGGCGGTGGTTTGGTGATAGTGGTGGTGGAGGAGCCAAAAATGCTCAGTCTCAGAAAACAGGGCGGCATCGGGGACGAGGCCCACATGCTGCTTCCTGTGATCGTGAACATCTCAACTTTCGTTTTTGGTAGAACCCTTTATCTTTATTTATTTATTTTTTTTTAAATTAAAAAAATAATAAAAACAAAATTTCAGTATGTTTAGTTTGAGTTTTTTGAATTAAGTTTTTTAAAAACTTAATTTTTTGATTTTCATGTTTTTTTAGTGAATATTTTTAAAATTTAAAATTTTTTTTTTATTTTTTTAGATACAACTTATTTAGATGTATCTAAAAAGTAAAAAATTTGTGACAAAATATTTTAAAAATTTAATAAATACATAAAAATACAAAAAAATGTGAATTTTGGATTTTTTTTTTATATTTTTGGTATTTAGTGAATTTTTAAAAGGTTTTTTTCACAATTTTTTTACTTTTTTGGTATATTTATGTTAGGTATGTCTAAAAAATAAAAAAAAAATTTGTTTAAAATATTAAAAAAAATTCAATAAAAACAAAAAAAATACGGAAAACAAGAAAGTAGAATTTTCTGAAAAGTGTTTTTGAAAAAACACAACCAAGCAATTATTTTTTATTTTTTTGGAATTTAAGCCCAACCCGGCCCTAACATTGTGCTTTTATACCTGTCCAAACTTGATTAAAAAAATAATTATAAATCTTAAACCAACTCATTGTGTAACAACCCAGATTTTTAATTATTCTGTAGAATTTATACTAATATTATTTAATTACAGTTAGAGAAAATATATAATTTATAATATATTATTATGGATAATTTTGTAAAATAATATAATTATTAAAAATTTAGGGATCAAAATATAAATATATAATTAATTAAGTTAAGTTTGGATAAGGTTGTATTAATGGAGATTAATAGGGATGTGACACGTGGCAGTTTGCTTGGGCATCACGAATTGAATTTGTATAAATGCGAAGTTGACTCAGTAAGAAGGGAAAAGAAAAGAAGACCAGGAAAGAAAGAAAAGAAAAAGAAAAAAAAAAGAAAGGAGAGAAAAGAAAGGAAGAGAAAGGAAAGGAAAAGTAGTGGAAGATAAGAGGGTCTTTAGTGGTAGAAAGGAAGAGTGAGGTATTAAAGTTAAGGTGAATTATATTATATTTTGGGTTATCAAAATGTATTTTACTTATGTTTTGACTTACCAAAATCTATTTTATACAAGTTATGTTTTGTTAGTGTGTGTATATATTTTATGAATACCAACACATGGGCAAGGTGACGCCGACGTGTCAGCCGACGTCCCACGTTTCCAGGTTGTAACGCCGAGGTTATCTCGGCAGGGCCGAGGTTATCTCCGAAGGTATCGGAATCGGAGATAAATGGATAAAAGATAAAGGACAAGAGTCCTAGAGTAAAGAGGGGACTTAGCCAAGATAAGGATAAAGCTCTTAGGGAGTTTATCTTTATCTTTTGGGGAGTCCAAAGTAAGTACTGAATTGGAGTCCATAGAAGTCAAGCTTCTAGTGAGACTAGGATTGAGTAAACTATAAAAAAGAGGCACCCCCGTGGGTCTAAGGTACGTAGTTTTATACTTTGAATAGTGAGTTTAGCACTTGAATATCTTTGAGAGATATACTGACTTGATCGTCGGAGTGACCCCAGGTGGAAAAGCCACCGCCGGAGCCTTTTCTTTCTGTTACAGGTTAGTTGAAGCCATCTATTCTGCCGGTGCTCTCCAGCTGATTACTCGGCGGGCAGTGTGGTTAGAAAATTACCTACACAATTTGGCGCTGTCTGTGGAAAACTTAGAAGAATAGATGGCCAGTAACGGACAGAGGGAAAACATTGGAGGCGACACTCCTGCTGGAAGTGGCAGACCAATTGACCTTGACGTTGAAGGAGACAACCACAATACGAAAACTCATGACCAGGGCTACGGAGAGAAAGACGTCGGCCAGGAGGGCGACGCTTCGAAGAGGACAGACCAAAGCAAGTATTATAACGAAGATAACCTTTAGGTATGGAGGGATAGGTGCCTTCGGAGGGATGAGGAAGTAAAAGACTTGGCAAACAAGTTGGCAGATCTACAATCAGTGGTCAACTTCATGATGCAAAACAATATCATGCAGCCACCATACCTGCTGCAGGATACGCCGATGCCAGCAACTAACACCCAGAAGGGAGGAAGAAGAACAATCCCCGAAGTCCTTCAGCACACCAGGAGCGGAAGACACTCTCACCGACTTTCTAGGGAAGGCGGACGAGAGGAGCCGAGACAAGAGGAGTCCCGAAGAACGTATCAGACGAAGGATCCAGAACCCAAAGAACATCGGCATGTTTAAGGGCAGGCGCTTTGCTTTGACACGACACATGGAGAGAGATCAAAACGAGCCCACCACGAGGCCGAAAGTAATGTGCCGAAGAGATTGAAGTCCAGAGATAGCCGAGCTCCAGGAAGGAGTAAAGAAGACTTGAGAGATTACCACAAGAGGAAGCAACAGAATGCTGAAGCCAAGGTAACTTCCCCGGTTAAGCCGAGGACACCATTCTCGGTGGAACTGGACAAATTTCAAGCACCAAAGCGATTCAGTATGCCGAGGTTCCAAATATATAATGGTAAGTCAGATCCCAACTTCCACGTCGGGCTATACCTGAATTCAATGGCATTATATAGTGGGAACGAGCCGTTGCTCTGCAAAGTATTCCCCTCATCCTTTGGGGAAATTGCATCAGATTGGTTCTATAAACTACCGAAGGGAAGCGTAAAGACTTGGGAAGGCCTGGCCGAGATGTTTGTGGCCAGGTTTGTGACAAATAAACTGCCCCCATTTTTTGTGATTCACAACTTATAGTAAATCAAACAACAGGAGAATTTGCAACCTGATATGAGAGGATGTCGGCATATGCAAAGGAAGTCATCAGGCTGGCAGCCTTGTTTCGCAACTGTCGACTTCTTCAGGTCAGCCGAGATGATAACAACCACGCAGACGCGTTGGCCAACTTGGCAAGCTCAATACAAACTGGAAAAACAAGAACCATAATGATTGACTATCTGTCAAGCTCGAGCATAGAACAGCCGATCACAAAGCAAGAAGCAATGTGTGTGGACTTGGGTCCAAGCTAGATGGATGCAATTGTTGCATTCCTGAAAGAGGGAAAGCTGCCAAAAGACCACAAGGAGGCACACAAGATCAGATTGAAGTCGGCAATATTCAGTCTGACAGCGGATGGACATCTTTACAGAAGGTCTTTCACAGGACCCCTTTTGAGGTGCGTACACCCTTTGCAGGTTGAAGATTTTCTATACGAAATTCATGAAGGGGTTTGTGGAAGCCACGCTGGGGGCAGATCGCTAGCTCACAGGGCCATTACCCAGGAGTATTGGTGGCTCTACATGCAAAAAGATGCCGAAGCATATGTGAAGAAATGTGAACAATGCCAGAGGTTTGCACCTTTGATACACCAGCCAGCTGCAGACCTGAACCCTGTATCCAGTCCTTGGCCATTTGCCAAATGGGGCATGGATCTTGTTGGGCAATTGCCCCAAGCAACTGGACAAAGAAAGTACTTGCTGGTAGCAACAGACTACTTCACGAAGTGGATAGAAGCAGAACCTCTTGCCAAAATCCGAGATGTGGACGTCAAGAACTTCATATGGAGAAACATCATCACTAGATTTGGCATTCCAAAAGCAATAGTTGCCGACAACGGAATGCAGTTTGACAGCAAACTCATCAAGAACTTCTGTGCAAAATTCAAGATAAAAAATTACTTTTCAACACTAAGTTTTCCCCAAAGCAACGGGCAAGCGGAAGCATCTAACAAAGTAATTTTGGATGGTATAAAGAAGAGGCTACAGACAGCAAAAGGAAACTGGGTGAACGAGTTGCCCAATGTACTCTGGGCATATCGGACTACGCCGAGAAGATCAACAGGGGAAACTCCCTTTGCCATGGCTTACGGCACAGAAGCAGTCATCCCACTGGAGATCGGCATCCCAGGGATCAGAATCGATGGAGTAGAGAATGGCACAAATGATATATTTCTAGCCCGAGATCTGGATCTCTTAGAAGAAAGAAGGGAGAAAGCTGCAATTCAACTCGCAGCATACCAGCAGCAACTTGCTAGAGCTTACAATAAAAAGGTTAATCCAAGGGATTTTCAGGTCGGCGACCTAGTCCTGAGAAAAGTGGTTGGCAACAAGAAGGACCCCAGAGAAGGAAAGCTTGGACCAAACTAGGAAGGGCCATACAGAATCACTTCGGTATTGGGCAATGGAGCATACCGACTTGAAGACAATGAGGGCAAAGCATTGCTAAGACCTTGGAACACTTGTAATTTAAAATTTTTCTATCATTAGATGTTCCTTGTTATTATTCATCAATAAAATTTTAGAAGAGTTCTCCAAAGACTTGTAAATTGTCAAAAGATACAGAATGATTGTTTCTGAATAATGAGAACCCAAGTAGAACTCAGGTTCACATTGGGGGCAGAGAGAAGACAGTAATGCTTAACTCTTGTTGAAATTTGTAGCAATTTACAAGTTGAAGTTAAGCCGAGATAATTGTTTATCTTCACTTGTTGAAATTTGTAGCAATTTACAAGTTGAAGTTAAGCCAAGATAATTGTTTATCTTCACTTGCTGAAATTTGTAGCAATTTACAAGTTGAAGTTAAACCAAAGTAATGTTTAACGCTTGTTAAAATTTGTAACAATTTACAAGTTAAAGTTAAGCCAATATATTGCTTAGCACTTGTTATAACTTGAGAAATTTTTTTAACCATTATATGTTTATCCTTGTTGAAACTTATAAGCAATTTACAGGACAAATACTTGCCGAGATATATTATCGAGTGGCATAACCAAGGTGTGTTACCCCGAGAAGATTGCACAAAGAAGAAAGAGTACATACGATATATGCAGAGTATTTTAAGTATAGGATCATACAAAGAAGAGAAGACAGGAGTACAAGCATTCAATAAAAGAGAAAAGTTGTATTGACATTCAAAGTAAAAAAGGGGCACATCGGCCATACAAAGAACATACATCATTCCCTAAGATAAAAAAGCAAGAAAATACAACGAAGAGTTAGAGCTAAGGCTCTTCTCCTCCAG